GACGGACAGACGGACAGACGGACAGACAGACGGACAGGGCCAAATCAACTCAGCTCGTCGCCCTGATCAAGAATATATATACTTTGTGGGGTCTGCCACGCCTCCTTCTGCCTGTTACATACATTTCAACAAAACCATTATACCCTGATTTCCCATTGAAAATGGGTTCAGGGTATAAAAAGAGGAGAATAATGATGGAGAGAGAAAGATAGGGTAGAATAGAAAAGGAAAGGAGACGGAGACACGTGAAGAAGGTGAAGAAAGAAGCAAAAGGTGGCACAGAAATAGAAAAGAGAGCATCAGAGAGTGACAGAGAAAAGGGCAGATGTCAAGGGAAAGAAAACGGTAGTGAGAAGATCAAACGAGGGAAAATTAATAAAAGAAAAGATGAAAATAAAGAACTGGAGAAAGGAGATAGAGAGTGAGAACGAAGGCATGGAAAACAGGAGAGGGAGAGAAATTTAGTAAATAAAATGAGAGAAAAAAGAAACACCTATACGAATATTAGGACAAATTTATAGATATAGATAGGAATATAAAGAGAAATATATAATAATTTATTGCTCAGCTTTTTTTCAATGCATACTTATTATGGACCCACCTTATCGTAGATGTTTTTCCTCATTTCAACCTCGCCAGATATCATGAAATAAACTGTAATCGGTATATCATTTTGTCGTATTAACATTCGATCTTCTCCATAGTTGGCGAACTTTAAATACGGTATTAGCCGGACTCGTAATTTCTGTAGGCGCACTTTGTACTGGTAACTGGTATATCGATATGCTACTAGGCAAACACTTACTGGAGGAAAAGTTGAGAAGCACGGCAGAGCAGCTACAATTAGGCAGAGTTTCTTACGCTCCTCTACAGTGCGGTTCGCATGGGGAGTAAAAAAAAAAAAAATTTCCTATCAAAAAAAAAAAAAAAAAGCAAATAGGAGGCATGTATTTAAGAGATCTTAAGTAGTATATATTGTGAAATGAATATCGTAAAACGAATATCGTAAAACGAATATCGTAAATGATATATCGTAAAAGGAATATCGTAAATCGAATATCGTAACAGGAATATCGTAAGCCGAACATATTTACCGCAACTGTCAGAACACCGGTCTTGCGCTTCTGCCTGATGAGAAAGGCAACATTCTTCTTAGCATTCATTACGATGCCCTGCTCCTCGGGTTCATCCATCCATTGCTGATTCAGCATCACAGTTAACACCAATTTCTTAAAGCGCAATCGAAAACTTTTCTTGCGCAGTTGCTTTTCGTCTGTCTCGCGTTTTTTAGATTGCATTGTGATCAATACGTAAACTTCCCGAAACTTTATATATTTACTTTTTTTTTCTAGTTTTTATTGTTTTAATGTGTTTTTGGTATTTCTTGTTTTATTCGTTTTTTTGTGTTTTCTTTTTTTATTCTGTGTTTTGTTTAAGGAAAAGGGTTATCTAAAATATACATGAAAGGAATCGATTGCTTTGATGTAAATGGAATTTTTAAGAAGGCGAAAGGAAATTTTCAATGTTTCTTTTTTGCATTTGCTGAGAGAGGAAATCCATTTGATTGCTAAAATCGTAATTAAGATAATAGTTTTAATAATATTTACAATAGTATGGATGCTTCGCTATATTTTTCACAATTGCTGTATACTATTTATATATTCAATATTATCATCAAATTTAATTCATATTTTTATCTTTTATTTACAGGTACATAAAATATAAAACATATAATTCTTATGAGCACTGCACACCGCTGTGAGCACACACAGAGAGAAAGAGAGAGAGAGAGAGATAGAGAGAGAGAGAACATAGTCAAAGACAATAGACTACCAAGAGCAATAGACAACCAAAACATATAGATGTAGATAAATATACTATACAAGCATAGAGATATTTAAGCAAATATGTATATTTAAGGTATACAGAAGTCACATACATACATATATACATGTATATATATGTATATAAATGCATATATATTGAGATCTAGTTAGCAAAGCTCGATACGTCAACTGAATGGGGAGCACTTAGTAAACCAAAATAAAGCACACAAATCTCGTTTGACACAGAGAAACAGTTTGATAAATATATTCACTACAGCGTGCAATACACAACAACAGAAAACATACATTGGACATAAGCAAAAACAACAAAAAAATACAAAAAAAAAAGTCAACAAATTACTCACGCAGACACACACACACGGCACATACAAGAACAAAAGCAGATCAAGAAGAAGAAAAATTATTAACAGAAAGCCAAAAGTTATTCGACCAAAAAAATAAATAAATAAATAAAAGAAATAAATCAATAAAATAAAAATTTAATAATTAAAGAAAACCGCAAAAAACCAAAATAAAAATATTCCAAATTTAAGTTAATAAGTGAACCGTTGCATAAATTAAATATATTAACTGCCCCGCATAAGAAGAAAAAAATTAGTGTTAAACAAATTTTTTTATTTATTTTTTTTTTTTTGCAAATTTGAATTTTGTCTGAAGAGAGGCAGAGGGAGAGTTACATAAATAACTCTATATATATGTTATACAACTATATACATATATATAGCTTGTAAATATATATATATATACCTATATGTATATGTATTTATAAATGCATATATATATAGTAGATCAAGCGTCGATCGTGTAACAACAACAAGCTTGCGGAGTCTGGGGGCGGCCATCAAAATGCATATTGAAATACAAGTGGCGTTGAATTTTGTCATTTCGTATCTGTACAACAAATTGCCGAGACGTCGTGTGAACATATTCGGGGAGGAACTAGAGAAGGCGTTGCGCGACAAGTTCCAAGGACACTGGTACCCAGAGAAGCCTTTCAAGGTGAGTTTAAAAAGATAATTAACATCTATCATACATCATCTATCATCTATCATCTATCATCTATCATCTATCATCTATCATATATCATATATCATATATCATATATAATCTCCCCAAAATATCACATATTACTAATATCTCTAATATATACATCTATTTCTCCTTTATAGGGCTCGGCGTACCGCTGTCTCAAAACTGGCGATCCCATTGATTCGGTGCTGGCTCGTGCGGCGCGCGAGAGCGGCGTACCCATAACCGATATACTTGAGAATTTGCCCAACGAGCTGTCTGTCTGGGTGGATCCCGGCGAGGTGTCCTATCGCATAGGCGAAAAGGGCGCTGTTAAGGTGAGACTCTCTCTCTCTCTCTCTCTCTCTCTCTCTCTCTCTCTCTCTGTCTGTCTCTTTCTCTCTCAATAAGTAATGGTATTTCCATTTCAGATACTCTATACGGAGAACAATGATAATCCCGAAGACAGCCATTCGGCCGATCGTGAAGTTACCAAAACGTTCAATCCGGAGGCTCAATGCTTCCGTCCCATCGATGTGGTCAACACGACCATGAATAACCTGAGCTTAAGTCCCAAGGCATTGCCATTGCCGTTGCCGCTGCCATTGCCATTGCCGCTGCCGCTGCCATTGCCGTCGTCCGGCTCGTCACCACACTCGGCCGCCTCGAGTGGCTCGCCCACCTACAAGGGCAGCCCGAATCCCAATGGCGGCGGCAGCGGCGCCGGTGGCGGTGGCGGTGCCGCTGCTGCTGGCTCCAACGGTGCCGGAAGTCTCTCGGGCAGCAGCAGCAGCAATGCAGCCACAGCCAATGCTACAGCCACCGCCGGTGGCGCGGGCTTTGTGCAGCGCGCCGCCCAGGCACCGCTCACGTTCACCACGGCCACCTTTGCCCAGACGAAGTTCGGCAGCACCAAACTGAAGACTAGCTCCAAGCGTACCAACAGGTAGGAGAGACTGATGGATAGAGTATATATATGTATATGTGCATTAATTGATTCGTTCATCTCGTACAGCAGCTCGTATCGCATGTCGCCCACTGAGTTCTCCAACTATATCAAACAGCGTGCGATGCAGCAGCAGATGCACCATGGCCACACCGTTGGCGGCTCCTCGGCATCGGCATTCGGCGGCCTGGATGCCGTATCGCCCGCTCGCTCCCTCTCGCCGAATCCCCTGACCTTGGCTGGCAATCAGGGCAACGGACCGAACGTCGCACCACCAACTGCAGCCGATCCATTTTACTATTCAAACATTTCGATGGGCCTGTATCCGCAATACAATGGACAGCGTGGCCTATACGAGAATCATTTTAATGCGGATGCGGGCAATCTCGGACTGTTTGGAGCTGCAGGTGGAGCAACAGCAGCAGCAGCCGCCGCCGCCGCAGCAGCAGCAGCAGCAGCTGCAGCAGTCGCCAACAATGGAGGAGCAGCTGCTGCTGGCAGCAATAGCTTCAGTACTTACCTGGAACCGTGTTACTTTAGCAATGGACATGTCAATGTGAATGCCAATGCCACAGGCGCCACTATGATCAATCAGCAGCAGCACCACCACCAACAGCAGCAACATCATCATCATCTTCAGCAGCAACAGCAACAACAACAGCAACAGCAGCAGCAGCAGCAGCAACAACAACAACAGCATTTGGAGCATGCCAACAGCAGCGATAGCTGCTTCGGCCTGGATACGGATCGCAGCGTCATCGTTGGCATCGAGGAGTCGCCCAATTCAGCTGTTGGCGCCGCTACTGGCGAATCGTCCACCGATAATAGTCCAATAGCCACGCCCACAGCTGGCATTGCCGGCATTGCCGGCAACGTGGCCAACAGCAGCAGCGACAGCAACAGCAGCAGCAGCAACAACAGCAACAACAACACCAACAACATCCCTCAGCCAGGCGTATCGTCCGCCAGCCTCGCAGCAACAGCAGCCCCATCGGCTACGGCGGCCAACAATCAGCCGGACAGCAGCAACACGGCAGCTGCCAGCAATACTAGCAACAATAGCAATAATAGCAAACTGATCGATGGGCTCAGCTCGTTCTATGGCAGCGGCTCCACCTATCAGCAGCTGCTGGTGGCCAACTAGAAGCAGCTGAAAGCACCGCGACAACAAATCATCATAGACGAGAAATCGACGCTAACCGGAAATGCAATAAAAAATAAAAACAAAAAGACGATGGCGACAAGTGTTCAAAGCAACAGCAACAGCAAAAGCAAACGAAAAAGCAAAAGTAAAAGCAAAAGGAAAAGCAAGCGGCCAAAGTCATCTTAACTGTAACTAGATTTAAATGTTAAACGGGTCAACAGCAGGCTGGCCCAATCAAAAAATTTAATTAGAGCAAGAAAAGTCTATATATATATAGGTATACATATAC